TGTTTTTCTTAAAAAATGATATTTTCCTCAAATCTAGAATTCCATACTCACTTTTGGACACTTGATAACTTAATTCATCGCTATAATGTCTTTCTGCCAATAGCTATTTTAGGTGATTAATAAAGGCTAAATTAGAAAAAAAAATTATCTATATGAAAATCTTTATTAATTAGCGTGTAAAACACTTTTTTTTTTATTATTATTTGTTTTTTTTAACACTATTGTGTAAAAAACACTATCCCATTCATGATCATCAGCATTAGGTGCAAGTGCAATAAGTAATTTTCAACAACTAAGGAGGTAGAATTGTCCTATTTCAATGACAAAAAAAAATGGTTTAAAGGTTTTTGAATTAAAAGCAAAGAGTATTAAGTAAAGTTTAAAAAAAAAAAAAAAAAAAAAAAAAGAAAAAAAGAAAGAAAGAGTATTGAGTACGTAATGCAATGTATTATACTGGATTTGGAGGTTTTTTGGTTTGGCAAAAAAAGAGAAGAGTTTCTGGCTTAGGTTGATTCATGAAGATATTGGTTTATTTTTGAAAATTTTTAAATAATTCAAAAGAATGTAAAAAAAAAAAAGACAAATGATGAACTAACGTAGGTTGAATTTGGCGGCTAATTGACCAACATAAGAGGATTTTTTCTCTTCTTTTTTTCCCCCAAATATTAATATTAAATAGTGTTATTTCTTATGAATAATAGAGGGAGATTTCATTTATATAATAAATTTGATTAAAATGAAATTTCTAATATTAAAAAATATGGCTTGTCTTTGTGGAATGAAAAGCTAGAGCTTTGCAGTTCTTATAATAGTGTACAATGTTTGTAGAAATAATGTTGTGATATTCTATGCTGTCCATTTTACTTGGGTGTAGATTTAACATATCTTTTAAAATAATATCAATACATTGTATGTCTTTTAATATAGTGTTCAATCTATATGTTCAAATAAAATGGATGATGTAGATTATTGCAACCTTATTTGTACAAATAAGGCTGCAACCTTATATGAACTTTTTTTCTTATTAGCTTTTAATAACTAAAAAGGTTCAACAGGTGCTTCATAAGTTAGACAGACAAATAGAGTGCTATCGTGCTCCCCCTTGAGCATGTTGCACACTTATTTCTCAGGCAAAAAACTTAGGGCATATTATTTCGCGTAAATATATTTCTCGAGAAATATTTTCATATGAAAGAATTTCCTCATGTGGTTCGGTGTGTGAATATTTTCACACCAATTGGTCATACTGCATCGTTTCACACTATTTGGCAACTAATTGGTGTGAAAATATCCACACACCAAACTACGTGAGAAAGATTTTTTTCAAGTGAAATTATTTCTTGAAAAATATTTTCACACAAACCAAACAGGTCCTTTATTAGAAGTATTTTCTATGTTTAAAGTTTTGGGATCCACTCATATGAGTATTTTACCAATCTTGACTTTCTAAATATTTAGAATTGACCATCCAAAATTAAGACGGCATCCATTCAATCTTAGAAAGCCGTTGTTTGCATTCACATATAAAATAAATATGAAAGACACATTTTGAGGTTGGTGCTTTGGTTTGAGAAGCTCCATCAAGAAATTTTGAGATCTTAAAAATACTCATAGGTAATGTTTCCACCCAAGAGACCTTACACTCGAGGGGGGTACAACCTTATGACAACATAAACATAGAAAGGGATTCTACTTGGCTTATAATACAAAGAAATGGATTCACACTTCCTCTTAGCTTCCTCCTGGGTTAAAAACTCGAAGCCTTATTTAAACTCTTATGTCGTGTTTGATTCTAGAAGATATGGTTTTGAAAATCGCGCCTTCTAGGTAGTGGATATCATAAGTTCTATAGGTGACCAAGAACTTATAGTGTCCACTTTTTAATGTGAAAATGAATGTACATTTAAGGAAATGCTACCTCTTATCAAACAACTAAGTGCTATAGTATTGGAAGACGTAGTTTCCAAAACCGCGTTTTTGAGAAATCAAGCATGCGCTTAGCAAAGCAAACTATTCTAATAAGGGTGTGGTTTCTATAAGGTTGCAACCTTAAACAATCCAATTAAAGAGCACCTCCAAATTTTATCATAACATGTAATTTTGGTGTAAAAAATTCTGAACAATATCTCAAAATCTATTTTTATATCTAATTATAAAATGTTAACTCCAAAAATGGTTAAAATCAAATAGATCTATAAACATATGAAAATCTTGAAAATGGATGGCCTAGACAATGTGTTGCAAGATGCACTATTTTTGGGACTCAAAATATTTGTTTTTTTCATATTCATACATCTCGATGTCGAGTGATCAATTAGAGGGTTTGTTAACATTAAAACAACATTTTCTGAAGGATTCTGGAGGTGCATCTTTCGTTCTACATTTTAAGGTTGCAACCTTATATAAACTTTTTCCTTCTAATAATTGTAAATTGGTCCAATTCATCTTATAAATGTAAATTGGTCCAATTAATTGGAAATGGCCTAACAAAAGCCAAAATTCTCACCCAAAGTTAAATAGAACCAAGAGCTGCGCCATTCAATGGGAGGAAAAAAACACTTGTTTGGTGCTCAATTTTGTTATGCATAAATAAGTGTTTTTAAAACGCATTGATTTGGATTAGGAATCTCTTAACTTGATTTGATAAAGAATTGTTCCGGCCTAATCCTCCTTAAAAAAAATGAACCTCCCTCTCTAAAAGTTTAATATCAAATAATCCTCTAGCCCTATATATATCCTATGGAAACCCAAGTTAAACAAAAAGTGACATTTAACCTCTCTTTTTTTTTTTTTTGTATTTTTTTTTATTATCTAAATTACAGAACTTATTTCTTTTCTTTTTTTTTCAATCTATTATCTAAATCATGGGAAAGCTCTTCTTCTCTCTCTTTTTTTTTTACCCGTGTACCTTTCCTACCTCTGAATCTCTAGCCACCTTCCCTCGATACTTGTCTTTTTCTCTCATCATGTAAACCTTATAAATAAGTTAAAGGATACATTACAAACTCAATTTTTATGATGAGGTTCTTAGAAGGAAAAAAAAAAGGATAAATTTGGCCAATAAAATTAAAAAATGGTAAATCATTCGCTTTTTCAATATTTTCAAATTTTCATAAATCCGTTCAATCTACACTATTTTTAGGAAAATTATCACAAATATACCTTAATTTTTGTCTATTTAAGAAAAAACCTTCAACTTTCATAAACCTCGCCTGCACATTACCGTGAAGCCGTAAAAATTAATTCATGTTATACGGCATTTTAAGTACTGTAAAAACTAATCCATGTTATATGGTATTTTAAGTACCATAACAACTAACCCATGTTATACACATTTTAAGTACTGTAAAAACTAACCTATGTTATAGGGCACTCAAAATGCCGTAAACCATTTTCTCATATTCATACTTTATCTCTTTCATCTCTCTAATTTTTATTTTATTTTTTATGTTTATCTCTTATTTCTTTCTCTAATTCTTTTTAATATTTGTCTCTTCTTTCTCTCTCTAAATATTTTATCTCACTAATTATCTTTCTCTCTCTACTTACTTCATCAACTCAACAAACACGATTCCAACACGATACAAATATGACTCCATCTAATTTTCATAGGGGATGGGGTTGTAAGGAGTTTTTATAAGGGATGGTAAGGTATACACAAGTTGTTATACAAATCTCTTTAAATAGAGAAAGAAAGTTAGAGACAGAAAAGATTTAGAAAGAGAAAGAAGAGATAAATTTTAAAAATAATTAAAAAGAGAAAAAATAGATGCTTATTAAAAAAAATTAGAGAGAGAAATAAGAGATAAACATAAAAAAATTAGAGAGATGAAAGAGATAAATATAAACAGATGAAAGAGATAAATATAAACAGTACCGTTATAACTTGGGTTAGTTTTTACCGTACTTAAAATGCCATATTATATGGATTAATTTTTACCGTACTTAAAATGCAGTAAAACATGAGTTAGTTTATTAATTGTGCTTCATAGTAATACGACTACTATGAAGGTTCTTTTGGTCAAAACAAACACCAAAGTTGAAAAAAAAGGGTGTGGGTGAAATTTATAAAAGTTAAAGGTTTTTTTTTTTAAAATAGACGAAAATTAAGGTATATTTGTGATAATTTAGCTTTAAATTTATAATTAAAATTGAAAATATATATTAAGGCTATCACCACATCTCTCGATACAAATGCGCTTTAATTTGATTGTTTAAGGGAAAATTACAAAAAACCCTCCAAAATATACTTTTTATGCAACTTACCCCCTAGCTAACTTTTTCTCTCACTTTTTTCCTTAAACAAACTTTTTATGCAACTACCTCCCCAATAGAAAAAGTTCACTTTTTTTAGAAGAAAATGCCTTTCTCGTAACACATTGTTGGAGCGCACTTAAACAGTGCCGGAGCTTTGTGACTCAGAATGCTCCACTGTCGAAGCATACTTACGTAGTGCCGGAACGCTGTGTTACACTGTCGGAGCGCACTTACACAGTGCCGAAGTGTTGTGCCGTTCCCGCAGCACATTTAAATAGTATCGGAGCCCTATCACTCAGAACGTTCCACTGGCGGAGTGCACTTATACAGTGCTGGAGCACTATGTTACACTGCTTAAGCGCACTTATGCAGTGTCGGAATACACTTACACAGTACAGGCGAGAGACGTGAGTAAAAGGTCGATTAAGGGTAGTTTTTTTTTTTTTTGGTTTGCTAAACATTATTTTGTACAAAAAAAAGTGAGAGAAGAAAATTAATTGGGGTTGCGTGGTAAGTTTTGTTTGGAGGGTTTTTTTTTTTTCAAGTTTTCCATTCTTTAAAGCCTGGGCTCCATACAAACTGCACCCAAAACATAACATAATTTTACAATAGGTTCACAAGAGCCACTTCACCTAATCTATTCCACCCAAACCACCATATTTGCCCGTTCGGTCCAAGGGGGCCACCATCCTAGAGAGAGAAAGCGAGTTTCTAGGCTTATTTGCCAGGAGAGAGAGAGGGGGGTTTCTTTACAGAGCCCAATCACGTCAATCTCTACTCTCACATCTTAGAGAGAGAGAGAGACTCAATTTGTGCTCTTACATCTTAGAGAGAGAGTGTTCCGTCCACTCACATCTTAGAGAGACAGAGAACGATACGAGAGAGCATCTCCCTCTGTGTCTTGACTGGTGACTACATGTGACGGTGCATTCCAGATCAAAGTTTCCTTGAAACTTTCGTGGCCACATCTCTCGTCGGGCTTTGCCATTTCTGGGTCATTTTTTCTCAAAATTGTGCAAAACCAGACCACCCAACCTCATAATCTTTCGATCCAACTCGTGAATTTGTGATAGAAAGACTCCCCATTTCAGGAAAAACATGGTCGACAATCATGGCCATGGTGCGCTGCATGCTCTCACTGGTTCATCTTCGTGGAGGTCAAGGCTTTCTTATCGGAACGCTACGGTCCTTCTTTGCTTTTTCAACGTTGTCACCATTATTCTCCTGCTTCAATGCATGTTTGCCCCTTCAAACAAGAAATTCACTAAAAACCGGTATGAATCTGGTAGGTATTGTTTTTCATTCCTTTAATGGTGGTTTTTACTGGTGAATTTTCAATGTTCAGGTTGTTAGTCATTCTTCTCTCCATAAAGTCAGCGATAATTGTGAATATATAGAAATGGTATTCGCTATGGTTTTACCTACCTGTTTATGTTTAATTTACCTTTTATTGGATTTTCAGGCTATTGTTTGGTTCTTTATTCCTTTAAATGAATAAAATCTGGGTATTGGTGTCTTGCTTTATGGAGATTTGAGATAGATCAACACATGTTATCTCTGAATCATGAACTTTTCTTAATAATCTGAATTGTGATGTTTCTCTGGATATGTTACCTAAGAAATATCTTTGAAAAAATCTGTTACAGAACAGAAGGTATTCTCATGTGCAAGTTTCCTTTTTGCTAGTTTTTTGTGCTCTGAGTCTAATATGTATCTTAAAGTTGTCTTTGTTTCTTTTATATATCGGGATTTGGGGAAATGGGTTTATGAGAAGCATATGTGTTTTTAAGTGTTTGGAGAAGAAACAGACATTGGTGTAGTTCTTTTTGTTTTCCTGATGCTGAGGATTTTGGGATCTGGTTCCTGATTTTGAATTTGTGGAACTATCAACATTTATTAAACCATTGGTTCCTAATAGTTGAAAATTATCATGTTTTAAGCCACCCAAAATAATTAAATTTGCTAGAGGACACATAAATAACTCAAGACACTTTTGCTTTATTCTCTCTCAGTTGATTCCAAAAGAGTGTAACATATATTTTCTAAAAGGCTCTAGTATAATGTAATACTGGTCGGTAGGAGTTGGTGGTCATCACATATGAACTGTTGCATATTTTCGACTGGCAAAAGAAAAAAATTAGAAAAGAAAGAAGCAGAAAAATAGACTGATTTTCCATCTGTTACGTCTGTTTTTTGTTTATCACATGATTAAATGTAGAGTATTGCAACTTCTATCCTAAGGTTTTACTTCTCTCCACAGTTGACAGTTACATCGCTTCCTTCTGAAGTAAAATATAGAGCAAGATAAAAGGAGCACTTGCCTTCACAGTTCTTCTTGTAACCTGTCACCTAATGCTTAGAGAGCCACTTTTTTGTCTCCACTGGTGTTGCTGAAACTGGACCCTAACCAGTCCCCAAACTGTTATGGACCCTAAAATGCTGAATCTTTTTTGAAATAGCCCTCTAAGTTATTAGTCGGCTGGTTTGGGAACTTGATTTAAATCATTCAATGAGGATTATTAATTATAGAACACGTTTAGATAAAACTGGCATTGGAAACGTTTATTCCTGGATAAACTGGCTGTTTCTACTGTTCTGTACCGAAACCTGATCATGTGGTTTATATAATAAATCAGAATAGAAGGGAAGAATAGAGTTAACAGATGAGACTGGTTAGTTAAAGATGCTCTCATTGGAACTTGTTGGTTTATCCCAGCCATTTCAATTGTTGGTATTGTTTATTTATCAAGAACCTGGTTAATTGGCCAGTTTTAGGTGGGCTGGAATAGGCATTGTAATTTCTGAACTGATAGTTATACTCTGTCACCGTGAACTCCCAGTTTTTTTGTTTTGCAAGGCAGTGTTTTAGCTGATTAAAAACCATCCTTAAAAGTAATTGCCTGATCATGTGAATTTACTACATTTTTTCTTGGATTTAAATGTAGCACTTTATATTTGTTAGACATGCAGATTGGTATATGGGTTTGCTGGAGTATTAATGGGTTTTTATCATCATGTTTCATGTATTTGATTTGATGGCTTTTGTTTTTTAGCGGTTGCAAACTGATAGCACATACAGAATTCATATTATTACATGTCTGTGTTTCAACACTCGGGCTTGCCTGGTCTTGACCCATGTCTTTTCTATGATTTAAAACTTGGCCAGTGCTTCACTCGAAGTCGACTAGGGCGATCCCAAGTCTTATAACCCAAATTAAAAACCTTATCATTTTGTTAATTACAAAAAAAAAAAAATTTGAAAAATTTCCTGAATTAATTCAAATGGCTTTTGGCGTATGAAAAGGATTTTTTTGGAAACAGACTTAAAATGGTGAAGTAAAAGCTTTACAAGAAAACATTTTCACTATCAATTACGAGAAAACTTTTTCACTATTATTCATTGATAGTAAAAGCAAATTTCTGCTAACGAAATCTTAGCAAATCATAGCAAGCAATTAAGGGCATGAAAAAGAAAGATATGCAAAGGAACTTTATGATATGTGATGGAACTCTATGATAGATAGATAGTCCTTATTAGATTATTTCTAGTAAGACAAGGACATTTCACTGGATGAATAAAGTTTGGCATTAGTTTTATTTGAATAAAATTAGTGCAATACAGTTTTTTTCTCTGTTATGGATAGTCTTGGTTATATTATAAATAGGAAAAGCATAAATCACAAATTGTACTTCAAAAATATTTGTTACAAACTACAAGGGAGTTACAAGGAGATGCTTGATTCTCATCCACCATATGAAATTATTAAACAGCTAAAATATAGGAAACCATTTGTGCTGCATTAAATAGAACATCATTTGTATATTTGTATATGAAATCTCTACTGGAATCCAGTAGAAGTCTATCCAAGAAATCTTTTACTTTGGGATTATGTTGGTACTTAAATATGTTGAACTTATTTTCTTCATTTTCTCAATAAGTAAGCTATTCTTCATATTTTTTGCGAGGTTATATTATTCCCTTTGATAGCATGTTGGACTCTTAATATTGCTTCCGGAACTCGCTAGTTGTAATCATTTTCTGCCAATTTTGAATGCAGTTCAGTTGAGATATATCAGAGAGTCTGAAGCTATACGTCGTGCCATGGTGCCTTTGGAATTGATTAAGAGAGTAAGTTTTTCTGAAACCGTTCCTCAAGAAAATGAAAAGAACGTGGGTGAATAGGTATCTTTAATGGAAAAAATTACATTTTGATTATAAGCCATGAAAATTTATTTGATTAGGTGAAGGAAATCCAACAAGAACCATACATCCAACCAGAAACAGTGGTGCAGAGGAAAGCACCCAAACAGAACAGTGCTAGTGATCTCTCTAAGAGGTTGAAGGATTTGCAGGCGTTGAATGATGCAAATAGTAAGAAAGGTGATATTCTTGGGCTCCATTATAATGAATAGGTTATGACCCTAAAGGTCACCATATTTCATTTGCTTGTCATGAAAACCCTCGAAGTTTGTCAATCAACTAGTTTGCTTGAATTGAGTTGATTAGAATGAACAAGTAGGTTAAATTAAGATGGCATGGTTAATGTCATTTTGATCCGGGGCCTGTTTATTCAATAGGATTCCACAGCACTTCGGTTTAACTGATTAGTTGTGATGGTTGAACCAAGAGGTTCTCAGATTGTGTTATTGTTGGATATTTTTGGCTTTTGAGTATGGATTCAAGGCATAATGTGACCAGCCTTAGTCAAATCACATGCTTTTCTAGGCGACGTACATCAGCATTTGTCCATTTATCACACATTTGGATAAAAGTGATCATGGCCTACAATGCATTTAACGTATTAATTTTGCAAAAATGTAACTAGTAGATTATTATTATTGTTTTTTAAATTGATGATTTAACTATACCTGTTGAGACACGAATTTGAATTTTGACTCATGCAATGCAGCCATGCCATTAAGTTTATCTCGGAATCTTTATAGTATAATGTAAGGGTGAGATTAATTATGTTTGACCTTGTTATTACACCATTCTAAGGATTCTTTCCCTTGCTGACATCTGAATTATTGCATGCATATCTATGCATCATGATTCATTTGGAAATCAACCCTGATTAAAATTGACATAGCATATATTCAATGAGACCTCAACCCCTCATCTCATGGAGGTGAGATTTGAGGAGTGACTTTTGAACTGTAGGCAACTTAGAAATTTGCTTGTGCAGGCACCATGACATTTTGTTGTTATATCCCTTCATTTTGCGATCAAGAACGCATGAGGTCAAGTGGAATCCATTGAATGGATTTTTGGGTAGGGAATGCCCTATTCCATTCTCTTGTGACCTACACGCTCCAACGGAGTAGACCGGGTTGATTCGATTGTTGAACTTGCTGAGATAAAGTTGTCCAATTAATTGAAATATTTTTGGATAATACTTCATAATATGTGGGGTTTTGAACTTTCAGTTTCTATTTGGTCAACATGAATCCCTTGCCTGTAGTAATCTGAGAAAACGAAGGAAATCCTCAAAGTTCTCTTATTGATGTGAAAAGTACATATGATAATCGATATTGCATTAACTTATATTGCATTAACTTATGTATCAGCATTATATTAGGTTAGGATCTAAACTGGTGGAAGAATTAATCAAATCTGGTACCTAAGCTTGCACAATTGCAGTAGTCATTAAAACTTATAAAGAATATTATAAGCTTTTACATCTCACACATTCATAGGCAGCTGTGTTAGTTTATTGAATATAGTGTGTGTGGACATGTGTATTATTTATGCACGTATATGTAACAGAAACTATCTCACTGACATCATCATATTTTTCCAAAGGGGGAAGGTTTCAAAGCATATATTTTCAGCACATGCTTAGGTTTGATATTTCTCTGAAATAAGTAAGCATAATATCTGAAATTCTGAGTATGGGGGTTTTGGCCTGCAGCTCTCGACGAATGGCGTAAGAGGAAGATGGGCAGGGCAAAACAAAGAGAGATGGAAAAGAACATGACAGCGGCTACATAGCGGTTGCATTTATTGGGAGTGGGAGATTCCTTCACCATGTTGTTTGTTAAATGCTTGCTTGTATTCGAAAAATGTGTAATATGGATTCTGAAAACTGAAGACTGTGATATCATACTTAATGCAAAATAATGGCGTGTCTCATCCATTAATGATGGATCCCCATTCATGAAATTTACGAAAAACAGAATTAAGAGAAGCATTTTCCTTTCCAAGAATAATAAACAAGAAAAAAAAAAAAGCCCTAACTTTATCCTAGCATTTGTTGTCCTGCTTGGTTTTTCATCCCATGCATATGTACTGGAAAATGGGAAGGGGAAAGGGAAAGTGAATGAACCGCGACAAAATGTGCCATTAGGTTTTGATTTCTTAGGTTAATCTTGAATTCTAACTGAAATTTACCCAAACCATTCTTACAAGTTCAACCCCTTGTAATTTTTTTAAGGAAAAGTTCAACCTCTTGTAATTGCTACAGCTTTCAGCTCAAAAAGTCAATCTACAACCTCAAATTACAAAACATCCCTTTTACAACACTCTATTTGGTTTAGATGATGGGATTAATCTCCAAAAACTGCCTTTAAGATGAAGATGAAGATAATACATTGAAAGGAAATTGCAACTTCAAGGGGGAAAAACTAAGATTTCATGGGTGATTCTTTAGGAGATTAGGCGACCGAATCCTCTTCATCCTCGAAACTCAAATTCAGAGTCTGTAGCTTAAAGCCTGATCCCTGTATAACCTCAACCAGATTAGAGGCCACACCTGTTGCCTGAACTGTGGTCTGTTTTGTGAGCTGCATTTGATGGAAATTGTTTTTATCAACCCATGTGATCTTATGGAGATGAGATACCAAATTTCAACACTTACATAGCATTAAAAAAAAATTGACTGACTAAATTTGGCAACATGCACGATATTAAATCTCCGTAATTCTATATTTCCAAGTTGCATCAGAAAAATGATGAACTCCCCATGTAAAACAGAGAGCTTGGCATGTGGATGTACTTCCATTGGCAATATTAGTTCAGCGATTTAGCTTCTAGTATTAATACTGGCTTCTAAAAAGAAGAGGAATTTCAAAGAAAACCGACATCAATGTTCATACAAGAAAAGAAGAATTTCATAGAAACAAACATCAACTGTTAGACGAAGATTGTCAAGTTTGTAAAAGTCTCTCATTTCTCCTTCTAACTAAAGATGATGTCATTAAATACAAAGCTAGTCTCTCTCTCTCTCTATCTCTCTCTCTCTCTCTCTCTCTCTCTCTCACACACACACCAATGAAATCTGATTAACAAATCCATGTTCCAAAACAAAATTCAATCCACCGGGGTGACTAATGTAGCCGCAGAGAGAAATCTGGAGAACCTTTTTTTTTTCCTGACAGAAATTCATGCAACCCTAACAAAACTAATCCTTATTCTTGAGAAAAAAACCAGATGAATATGTATCTCTAATAAGGAACCATTTATTTTTGTAATCGGAACTTTCGAAAAAAAGGGGTTACGATCCAAAGTTTAATATGAACAATAATTGACTACCTGAAGGCAAACAAGGAGAAAGCCAGTATTATAACGAGAATTCAACTAGCTTAGCCCCAAACACGAAACAATTACACTCATCATTTAGGTAAAGAACTCTTACCTCAACGGATGCAATGCCCTCAATGGTCTCAACTTTTAGCTCACTGATGCCTTCAATACCCTGCACATGGGTTAAATAATTAGTAAGACATAATATCTCCATGCTTTTCTTTATTAGTAAATGATAAATCTGTGGGGAATTGGAGCATATACCTCTAGTGACTTGGTAATAGCAGAGATTGCAGATTCATCCATTGTTCCTTCCGCCTTTCGATACGTGAAGAGAAGATAGAATAAATCAGTTGCATCAAACCTAAAACAGGCGACCAGAACTAAAGAAAAACTATTAAAGAGCACATTACAGAGCAAACACTGGTTCGATGATAAGAGTGGAAAAGAAGAAATACAGAGCAAAAAACAAGGATGTCCAAGTTCAACCCTCCAAAAATAGTGCCAACAAAGAACATTCAATAGAATTATGAATTCTCCAAGCAAAAGAGGGTGTGGACTGATGACATAAGAACTTGATTCCCTAATCTCTCATCTACAATTGGTTTTCTTGTTCTTCCATCATCACCATCTCTCTGATATAGACGCACTGTATACATCTCTGGTTATCTTGCTCCTGAATTCGTATTTATACTTCATTTCTACACCTTCATGGTTAATTAACAATCACCTTCCAAGGCTTTTGAAAGTGTGAAAGAAATGTCAGTCAACTTATTTACAAGGTAAAATAAATTCTTCTTAAAAATAACAAACATGTGTTTAAGTCAAGCCTTCAGTAAGATTTATCCAAATTGGATCTCAAAATCTAGTGCATTTATGCTGCTAGTAAGGTGATCAGAGTGCAGGTCTGACATTTTATGATGTCTCAAGTTCTTTTTCCAAAGGAGTTTCATGGGATTAAAGTGGGGTGACCTAGTTTGAACAGTCACACGTATTGACATTTTAAAATTGGGTGTGGTTTGCATAAGGTGCCCTCCTTATACGGTATAAGTAAGGTGCATCTCTAAATTTTGCCTGGAGATGTAATTCTGATATCGAACTCCTTACGATGGCTTGAAAATCTATTTTCATCTCTCGTAACTAAATTTCCAATCCCAAAAACGATATACTGACCATATCTATAAACACTTTGAGAATCTTGAAAATAGACTGACTAAATAATTTGTAGCAAGAAATACTATTTTTAGGACTTGAAATTCTTTCTTTCTTCATATCCATCCGTCTCGAGGTTGAGATGATCAAATTGGAGGATTTTCCAACGTCGGAACACTCTGTCCTAGAGGATTATTGAGGTGCACAATAGTATAAAGTTGACATACCATTGACTGGGGCATACATCAACTTACTTCCTTCCTCCAACCAAAATAAAAGCAAAAGAAAATTAAATTTAGCTCTTCAAACAATGATATAGTCTCTCTTCTCCTCTGAAGAAACAGAAACTGAAACAAATACTGGAACTATCTTTGGATGGCAAGGACAGTGAATCTTTTCAGACTTGAGAAAATGAGTTTCTTTTTTCTTTTTACTTTAAAAAGAAATGTGTTCTTCTTTCTATTTGAAAAAGAGGTTAATTATACTGAAATACTATCTGAAATCCCCAAAATTCCAATTATGAAAATAGTCATAATGCACTGCACCCAACTGATACAAAATGCCAAGTGAATGCCATTTGTTTCAGACCTTTGTGTGATATGGGATATACACTACAATTTCATAGTTACATGAATTCTAAAATTTTGAAGTTTCTCTGCAAATAGTTTAGTCACAAAAGATGAAAATATAAATGGATGAGAAATCAGAAGGGAAGTATTAATAGTAAAAAAATATTCAACAATTTCAAAACATGCTCTATGAACTGTATTTTTACCAATCTATAAACACATATTTCCAGCAAGCATCCATTTATTTAAATGCGAATTTACATTCAGCAAGAGTTTAAGAAAAAACATTAAAACGGAACAAAATCCAGAAATACTAAAAAAATTCTATTTTTTGGAATAAAAAATATCGTGACATTTTGAGAATATTGTTTAAAAAAGTGGATACACTGCAAAGTCTTGAATTTCCAAACCTTGCAGGAACTTAGGAAACACCATAAAGAGAAATAGCCCAAAATAAATAAATAAATAAAGAGAGAGAGAGAGAGAGAGAGAGAGAGAGAGAGAGAGAGAGAGAGAGCGTACGTACCTTACTACGTACGTACGTAACTTACGTTAACGTTTACTACTACTAAATTAATTAGTACTATACGACACGACTAATAGTACGTAGGTTTAGGGTTTTTTTACGTTTAGTTAAATTAACGT